AGCATAATAAGAGTCGCCCCCTGCTGGCTGTTGGGAACAACGCAGGTTCAAAGTGCTGCACTTTGGCTTCGTTCATCTTTTCCGCAGGTTAGAGCTGCAACTCAAGTCCTGTTTTTTAATTGACGGGTAATTAATTAGTTGTTTTTTCTTTAAAAAATTAGAAAATGGTGAAAAATGTCAATGTTTTCCAAAACTCAAAATAAAAAAGTCTTTTTTTTGTCCACAACTCAAAACAACAACTTTATTTTTTTTTTCATACTTGAGGAAAGAAACTGTTTAAGTTTAAGAAGCTGAAATCAGACAATTTTGAAAGTTTTTCTTTTTAAAAAAATACTCAGATTGTTTAATTAGTTATCAGAACAGCAGCTATTGATTCTTTAATTGGCCTTAAAACTCCCAAACATGCATTTTATGTTTTGTTGCTTCATCTGACTGCAGATTTACATTTAATGCACATTTATGAACCTAATTGTTTCTCAGCTGGTTCCTAAAACTCACCCAGCGTGTTATCGATTACATAAGCTAATATTAATCCTGTTTATTACGTAACTGGACGCTGTAAACAATTCCCACCTCTGCTCCCATGATCCCCTTAAGCAGGATTCATGAATCTTGTGGATTCTTTCTCGCTCGTTCACAAACCCGCTCGGAGGCGAAGACGGTCTGGCCATGTGACGATCCCTAAAAACCTCCCTAAAACGGTGGTCAGAGTTAAAAGCGGCGGTCAGTTGAGCAGACCTGTGTCACGGTTGGACTCCCGCTCAGGCTTTAATCCTCCAGCAGCCTCCTGAACTCGAGGACTTTGGCTTCTTCCAGACGACTCCCAACTCTCCGGCCAGCAGCACGTGAGTATCTGCACGGATGCATTTTTAACATTTTATAGTTACAAAAATGCACCTAATAGTCAAATTATGCATTTTTTTTTTATTGTATTGAGAAATTCTGTCATATTTTGTGTTTATAAGCCTAAAATAGTTGATTATGATCCACTTGTTTGAGCTAATTTCCGTCTTTTCTTTCTCTAATTCAAAGACGTCTCTACATGCAGCTTCTTCCCAAACAAACAAAACTCACTCTGATGTTTTCTCAGCTCTTGTAACCGAGCAGGAGTTTCCTTCCTTGTTAAATTAATCGACTCAAAAAGGCAGAAATGTGGCTTCTTCTTCTTTTTTCTTTTCTTTTTTTCTGGGGGGGCATTTTAAGCGCGAAATGGCTCACGTGACAAACCTGCTTCATCACAAGGAAGACACGGAGGTTTTCAGGAAACATTAACCAAACGTTGGAATAACAGTCACGTACAGCGTGGTGACACATTAATCTCTTTTATCCAGTTTCATCGTTTGCAGTCAGAATCCTGCTGCAGCTCGTCTCATCATTAAAGCTGCTCTTCATCATTTTGTAAAAGAAAAACAGCCTTAAACCTTTTTTTTTTAATGTCAATGTGCTCAAACTTCTCCTGAACCTGACCTCAGCCTCACGTGATCGACTCCACTGACTGAACAAACTGATTTCAGACATTTGCTAAACAAACGCAGCGTCTCAGATCCTCAGATCCTGTGATTCGTTTCCTTCCTTTGTGTGCAAACAGACCGCGGAGCTTCTGAAAGGCTGGTTTTTAAAAACTTCTCAGCCTCAAATGTATGATTTTGTTGATGTTTTTTTATTTTTTGTGATGGAAAGTGACTCAGTATGATGTAGAAATCCCAAATATTATAATTGTTTATCAAGTTAGAGCCACAGGAAACTATTTTTCCTTCAATTTTCTCTCAAACAGCAACTTTTAGTTCATTTAAAAGCTTCATTTTTCGGTGAAATTTGAATGTTTGAGTGTTTATGTTGGAAAAAAACACCATTTAATGAGGAATTTCATGCATTTTAATAAATGTTGAGCTCAAGTTATTTATTATTTGAAATTATGCAGTTTAAGTTTGCACATTATTAGGAACTGTAAGATTTTACCTTTTAAATAAAGTTTAATTAATTTATTTTGGCCTTTCTGTTCTTCTGTTTTAATCTTTTTAATTTAAATCTGACAGATTTGTGAAAATGCCACAAAAAGGGATGAATGTTAGGAAGCTGGGAAATTAGAAATATAATATGTACACACCAGATTGTGCTTTTTTTTGTTTCCCACATTTGATTTTTTTTTAATGTTTAAAAAATTTTTTAAAACGTCCATTTTCATCCTGGAGCTGAGTTTTTAGTTTCCAGGCCGGTTTCTGTCAGAAAAGTTTGTCATAAAGTACGACAATGAGTTTTAGTTGGATGTTTTTTTTCCCCGTGTTGATTTTTACATTTAAAATCTACGTCTGTGCCTCATGTTTTTATGTTTTAGAACAATTTGAAGGGAAACTGAATGCAGGGTAATTATGTTTTTATACAGTATGAATAAACCCTTTAGCACACGTGACGACTGCACTTTCAGTTTCATCGTATTTATGACGATAATAAAGATTTGTTGGTAATTATTGAAGCTGATTGATTCATTTATACCATTTTTATTACCTTGATTGAATGTTGAAAATCAATAGAAAGGAGGAACTTCTAGGTGCCTGTATGTCAACTGTTTACTGTGAGTTTATAACAGATCCATGAGTCATGTGCGGTGTGTTCATACCCTCCTGGTTTCCAGTTGTTTGAGTGACTGTTGTGGATTTTGTCTTTTCTTTAATGGAAGGTCATGAATACATCAGAGGACGACTGTATGTCCATAAATCTGATTTGCTCATTATGATTATTTTGGTTTCCAGAAACCTCAGACCTCTGTGAAGGACATTTGCTGGTTTTCTAACCTTCCCTGTCGCTCCATGTCCAGATCCGACCGGTTCCGTCCTCCATCATGTCTCTGCTCACCCACCTGCTGTCCTGCCTCTTTGGTTTGGGCTCCTGGGTCTCCATCAACGGCCTCTGGGTGGAGCTGCCCCTCCTCGTCCCTCAGATCCCCGAGGGCTGGTACCTGCCCTCCTACCTGTCGGTGCTGATCCAGATGGCCAACGTCGGGCCGCTCTTCGTCACCCTGATGCACCGCTTCCGACCGGGCGTCCTCAACGAGGTGGCCGTCGTCTACGCCGTCATCGCCGTGGGAACCGTCGCCAGCTTCCTGCTGGGCTTCTTCTGGAAGGAGACGGTGGTGGTGGGCGGCGCCCGGCGCAGCGTGGCCCTGCTGGTTCTGACCTTCTTCCTGGCCACCGTGGACTGCACCTCCTCCGTCACCTTCCTGCCCTTCATGATGCGCCTGCAGCCCCGCTACCTCACCTCCTACTTCGTGGGGGAGGGCGTGAGCGGCCTGCTGCCCGCCGTGGTGGCGCTGATCCAGGGCGTCGGCGTGGTCCGCTGCATCAACGGCACGCAGCTCCTGAACCGGACCTCCAATGCCACGACCTTTGACCTGCAGGCCCAGTACCAGCCTGCAAACTTCTCGGCCGAGGAGTTCTTCTTCTTCCTCAGCGCCATGATGCTGGTGTGTCTGCTCGCCTTCCTGCTGCTCAACCACCACCCGTCCGTGGCCCGCCAGAACCCGAGCAGGAGCTACACCAACGGGGTGAAGCAGGAGGCCCAGCGGGGCAGGAAGTGGGCCGAGCAGAAGCCCATGATGGAGCCGTGTGGCCAGAGGAAGCCCAGGAGCAGCTTCGGCAGCGGCTCCTACAGCTGGCTGCAGGTGTCCTACATCCTGGGGCTGCTGGCCTGGGCCAACGCTCTGACCAACGTGGTGCTGCCCTCGGTCCAGTCCTACTCCTGCCTGCCCTACGGGAACAACGCCTACCATCTGTCTGCGTCTCTGGCTGCCGTGTCCAACCCTCTGGCCTGCTTCATCGCCATGTTCCTGCCCAACAGGTCAGAGGAGATAAAAACAACAGAACATGCAGCAGGTTTCACTGAAGCTCTGATTTCAACCATCTGCCTTTTAGAAAAACACTTTGACAGGTTGTTCAGCTCAAACCATCCAGTTTCTGCTCAGTAAGCTCTGATTTAAATGACATTTTTACACCATAAACTTCAGACATTTATAAAGAAATTTGGGACATTTCAGCTCAAACCCTTTCAGAGATATTTTTATTCTGATAGCTGCTACATCACAGATCTTCTCACATTGAAGTCTGAGGCTGTTTAACCAATAAAGGTTATTTTATCTCATGAAC